GGGGAATTCTGGGAGTTGAAGTCCACTCCTCTTAAAGTGGCCAAGTTTGGACAACACTGGCTTAATGCTACTTCTGGTTCTACTGTAAACACAGCCCAACTAAGAAAACACGACAGCGACGTATCCACTTTCCCGGGTTGCACAGTAAGATGCGATGCAAGGGTTCCCCCAACTTGGAGGTACCTCTTGGGGGTTGGATGTATCTGAAATGAATCGATCAGTTGATTAAAAAGGAGATAATCAGTCGACCCGGAATTTTGGAATCCGTTAATGCTCCTAAATATTAAATTCTTCCACACTGTAATCCGCCTTTGAACAAGGGTGTGGCATAGAAATCTAAGTAATTCAGTATTACGAGTGCTAGAAATAAGGGGAGGAGGGGGAATCAATCGCAGGGATGGAAAAGCTCTTGAAGGTTGCGTTATGGATCCTGCTACAGCACCTCTGATGGGTCACCAGCCCTTGGTTGAACATCTCTATTGAAGGAGAGTCTACCAGAGCTTCAGACAAACACCTTGTATTGTCCAAGCTTATTTCAGAGGAGCGCTGTACCAAATTAAGCCTTTCTGTATCCTGCTGGAGCCGTTACGTTCTAGTTTCCAGCAAGCCACTATGAACTGTTTTATCTGAACTGACAAACGATTTACACCTGCCCTCCGAGCCAAAATGTCAAACTTGGTTTCTTGGCAATGTAGGTGACCTCAGGCTAAAGAGAGATTAATCACACCAAGATGTGTGTGTCATTTCCTTCCTAGATGAGAATATGAGGGCCAGCAGTTATCCTCTGGGGCTGACAATTCTGCAAATGGCTTCCAATCTTTTATTGACGCTAAAAAAATTTATATTGTTATTATTTCAGAGAGTGAGATGTTGGCAGAGTTCACTAATCACTCTAAAGTTCTAAACCATAGTGTAGTTTGGCTTTAGCATCCTGTATCAACCCACGCATTGTGGATTGCTCAATAAACCATGGTTTAGAGCAATGTACAAAGACAGTTGTGGAGCAAGCATATCCAAGTGAAACAAGCAAGGACTGGTATGGAGAGGACCTGTGCTTGGATCTCAGGTTTCAGCTGTTTAAGAGATGGAGCTGCTCCACTCTTTGCTAGCTAACTCAGCTTCCACATTATCAGCCATCAGGTAATAACTGAGAAGCTGGGTGTGTATGACCCACGTAGCTCGGAGACTGAAGAAGCCTGGGTCCACACAAAATAGTGAATCACAAACTGGCTTGAGCTGAACCGTGAGCTGAATTTACACAACACACGACATTATCAAAAACATCATTAAAACCACACTTGGCCTGTATGTGAATCATAGAACAGAAGGGACCTGTGACATCATTTACTCCTCATTCCTGTCCAGTGGAGGAATCTGCTCCTGCACCATATTTGATCAATGGCCAACGCAGCCTTTCAACACACCCACTTAAGAAGAATCCACCTCTAATCTGTTTCACTGCTGAACACCTCTTAGGTTAGGATTTTTTTTCCTGATGTCCACCTGAAATCGACTTCGTTGTAATTTAAACCCATTGTTCCTCGTCCTGTCTTCCTGAGCAGCTCTAAATGATTTTCTGCCCTGTCTTCTATGTGACAGCTACATGTCTCCTTCCCTAGAAACACCCAGTGCTTCCAACCGTTGCTCGTAAGTTTT